TTTCCAAATTTAGTGCATTTTACTACTTTTGCTAATTCTTTGTTGACTGCTTTTACCTGTAATATTCCAAAGAATCTGTGACTCTAAAATGTAAGGATTCCAAGGAATAAACCGAAAATACAAAAAAAAAAAAATATAAAAGGGTCCCTCTATTATGTCTATTTAATCCATTCATACTTTCATAATCTGTTGTATTTCTTCTGTATTTTTTTTTTTTTTGTGTGCAATCGGTGATCGGGATTTACAATGTTGGTGTTAGGGGGTATCCGATATCGAGCAAACTGCACATCTTAATAATTGGATTATCTTTGAACCAAAATGGATCACTACTTCGACAATTTGAAGGTAATCAGGAACTCTGATGAATGTTCATTGTACCCAAAACCATCCTTTGGTACAGGGTATTTTTAATCGATTTATGCATTTCCGTCCGTCCTTCGGTGTGTCCTTCGGTGTATATATGTAAGCCAACATTTGATGTATTTAAGCACATACGACCGAATGTGGTGAAAATCGGTTGAGAAATGGCTATAGCCCAATATTGTGTTACATCCGATTTGGTGTTTTTGGTCCATCACATTCGTAATATGTACTCCACGACAATGATAATTGGCACTAGAAATCAGATGCAGCTCAGAAATACCTCTGCCAAATTTTATCGAAATCTGGTTAGATTTGAATATAGCTTCCATATATTTACGTTGATGTTAATTGTGCACCAAATATGTAATATCAACCCAAATTGGATATATTTTTTTCAAATTCTGCTGAATTTATGCTTGAAGAAAATGCGACATTTATTGAACCTCGATTCCAATATATCCATTGCTCCGATATATATTTTTTTACATAATCTATCTCGAAGAAATATTATGCGCTCTATAGTAATGTTATTTGGGAAGAGGGGTACAAAAGTCTTCTTCAAATTTTGTGGAGATCGATTCAGAGTTGGAAATACACAACTTCACATTAATTCCCAACATAAATGCTTATTTGTAACCCTGGTAAATATGCATAGTTGTGTAGGGTATCAGAAAGTCGGCCCCGTCCGACTTTTGACCTCTCGTTACTGATTTATTTTTATAACCTACACCACAAGGTGGTCAGAGTATTATGTCTTTGTGCATTTGTTTGTAACAAGCAAAAGGAAACGAGATAGACACATAGTTCCTTTTCATGATCTGCATAGAATCACATTTTGAGTCGATTTATGCATGTCCGTCCGTCTGTCCACGTAATTTTGTAAACAAAGTACAGTTCGCATTTATTACCATCCGATTTGTTATTTTTGTCCACCGCTGCCGTAATATGCTCTCTGTAATAACAATATTTGGGGAAATATATCAAACACAGCTCAGAAATACATTTGCTAAATTTTATCGAGATCGGTTCAGAATTTAAAAGATACAAATGCTTCGGCATATTTAGTCCTTTGACCTTTAAATTATAATTATAATCATAACGTTTATGATGGAATTCCCCCATAAAAACTTTTTATTGTTATGCGGAGCACTACTAAATTAGCAAAGTGGTGTAGGGCATCATAAAGTCGGCCCCGGCTGACTTTAAGACTTTCTTTACTGGTTTTTTTTCTATACATATATTAGAACAAATATTAAGAGGTTGTTTTTTATATCAAATTAAGTTTTCTTAATGTTTCTCGCCCAGAATTTTTTTCTTCTCGAAAAGGAACATCGCGGATATTATATCTATCAACTATTATCAATCTTTGGGATTTTTGCTTTAAAATAGAATAGAAAATAACATTTTAACATAGGACGTATACAAAAAGTCTATTCCACAATCTCTCTCTCTCTCTGAATTTTCTACTTGTGTCAGAACATAATTTATTTTATTATACTTTTTTCAAAACATAATTTTTCAAAAAAAAAAACATGTTTTATTTGTAGTTTGGAAAGACTATTGTTTTTTTCTTCCTTCATTTCGATACTGCCTAGTGTACCAAACAAACATTGTCTTTGCGAAGAACCAAAGCAAAATGTACCACAAACATTTGTTTGATTTTACTGCCAACCGATTTCGATTTGGATCTAGAACGACAACGACGACAACAGAAAATCACTTAATAATTTCTATAGAAATACTTTTTGTTACAATGTTGCAGATAATGCGTACAAATCCATATCTATATGGCCAATATCTCTGTGTGTGTGAGCGTTTGCTCCAAGGGCCTACTAATTGACGATGAAATGATGTAACCTACAGATTGTTAATTGTGGACCATGGACAAGTCGAGAATTGAGAGGAAATAACAAGATGCCGAACGTTATTTAAATTCCATTCAATTTTCTCTAATTCCTCAGTTAAGTGAGGAAGAGCCCCAAATGTAGAAGGAGATGAGAAGACGACGACGATGAAGTAGAACAATGGATACTTTAAGATTAGTCGTCCTTTGTGTGTTAACTGATGATGATTTGCTTTATGATGCTGTTTGTATGCATTGGGATTTTCGTTTACATATAGGTCCTGTTAAGTGTTCTGCAACATTGTTGTGTTGGCCATTTTATAGCAAGAATTGATGATGTCGTGATAGTGAAATAGAAATTGAAAGACTACAAATGGCTTGAGTATTTTGAAATCAAGATCATTATTCCAGGGAATGAATGGATGGAAGGTTTGTTTGCGAACGAGGATGTCCATATATTATGTATTGTATGAAGAGCAATATATCTTTGATAATAAATATTAGGGTAATTTACAGTCGAATCACTTATGAGTGTGTTAGAAGTGAAGCAAAGCAAACAGGGACTTAGACCACAACGACCCCCCCCCCAAAAATAAAAAAAAAAAAAAAAATAATATTTTCACAAAAACAAAAAACTCACATATACCTCATATAAAATGGAAGGAAGTAGTCCGTATTGCCCAAACCTGAGACTCGGTACTAAAATGGGCAATATTGGTACCATCTCCATAAAGCCAATCAAAATATCTATATTAATAAAAAAGTAAATTAATTGACTTACTGACTGACTTAAATATCAACGCTTAGATGAAGCGGCTGGAGCTAGAACCTTAAAATTTTAGGGTCACTCATGATCCGCAAGTGTCAGATAAGCTGCAAATTCTTACTAAAACGTTACTAAAGGAACTAACTATTGCAACCTTTGCATTTGACGAACTAGTTGAGCTAGAGCTCTTAACTTTGGAATGAGGGTCACTGATGGAATGTATGATAGATATAACAAAGAGAATTCGCATTTAGCGTACCAAAAGTATTAGAATATACTACATTTGCTACCATTTCGTAGCATGTGAACGGTTTGAGCTAAAAGCTTGAAATTTGAAATAGGAATCAAGGTAGGTTCGAAGGACTCAATTTTGGAAGTGTTTATACGAAAAGTACTATATGGTATTAAATTTGGTCAAACTGGACTATACAAATTTGGAAATAAGATTACTTTTTTAGGTAGTTTTGGAAATTCGAACTTATGTGTACAAAATGGTACTTAAATTGGTACAATTTAAATTTTGGGTGAACCGGTTGAATTGAAATCCATAACTTTGGAAATACGATTGAGTGATGTAGGAAATTATGAAATGTGTACTAAATCGTACAAAATGTGGTACAATTTGTGTAAATCAATAGAGCTGGTATCCTTGTTGGAGTATAGGAATAATATATGAAGGTAGTCTTGAAAATTTGTATTTAGGTGTACTAAATCTGGCTGGAATCCCGAATTTTGGAGTTAAGATTACTGTTGGAGCGTAGGGTTGGGGTATGAATGAAGTTTTGTGTATTAAATTCGTACTTATGTGTACAAAATTTGGTGCATTTTGGATTTGGCTGAACAAAATATTGCAATTGGGAAATTCGATTTCTACTGGATTGTATGATACAAGTTGTGTTGCAAACTTGTACTTATTTGTACTAAATGGTACTAAATTTGGTACAAATTGAATTGAGTGAATCGGTAGAGCTGGAATTGTAAAATTTGGAAATATTATGTTTATGGGATTGTATGTTTGACGTATGTGGGAATTTTTGGAAATTCGTACATATGTGTACTAGATTTAATACATTTTGGCTGAACCGGTAGGGCTGGAAGCCTGAAATCGAGAAATGAGATTTCTATTCGATTGTATGATACAGGTTGTGTTGGAAATTTTGTTACTAAATCGTTCAAAAGTTGGCAGGAGTTGTGGTGATCCGATAGAGCTTAAATTTGGAAGTAAGATTTCTATGGGATTGTATGATTATGGTATGGAGGTAGTTTTGAAAAATTTTAAGAATAGGATAGGAGTATGTAGGAAAGTTTTGGAAATTCGTATTTATGTGTACTATATGGTACTAAATTAGGTATTATTTGGATAAGGGTCAACAAATAGGGCCGTACTGCTGAAATTTAGAATAAAAATTACTGTAGGAGTTTATGATTGGGTTATATAAGAACTTTTGGAAATTGGTACTAAATGTGCACCAAATGGTACTAAGTTTGGTACAAATTGGTTTCGGCCAAACCTATAGTCCTGAAATTTGGAACTGTTTTCGGGAATAAGCATTACAAGAATACAAAAGTTGATAAATGACACAAGATTTACTATTGATTGTACAGAGATATATTTCTTAATTTTGGTGTTGAAGTCAGAATTGGTGTGAAGTGTTGAGATACAAAAGTGAAATAACTGACTGACTGAATCATCAACGCCCATGCGAAACGGATGAAGCTAGAATCTTGAAATTTTACATGTGGGTCAATGTTGGTGGGTAAGGCTGAGATAAGACTAGGTTTCGGACTATAAGTGTACTAAATAGGTTATGGAAATGTGTTTTAAGTGTAAGAACTGTACTAAATGCTACTAAATTTAGTATAGATGGTGGGAATATATATAGAATGGGAGAAGAGATAAAATTATGCAATTCGATATTAAGATCAATGCGAAATATATGCAATTTAGCCATATTTTAAAACATTAAATGAAACAAACATTAAACATATTTTAATAAAAAGCTAAAAAACCTATGTACCCATTTCTAGGAAATGATAACACAGAAAAGTTATATATCTAAAATGAACGGATTCTGAGGAAACTTATTTCTAAAATGTCCAAAAGTGTTGAAGATAGGGGAACGTGCCAAATTCCGAAGTTCAAAACACCGATACACATGTCGCTGAATTTTAGCTGAACTTGCAAAATCTGCTTCAAAAAATCTAATTTGGTTGGAAAATTCAAAATAACTTTAAATCCAGACGAATCGTTTCTCATTTCAAATCGACCTACCAACCCATTATGGGCCATGTCCCATCTTATAATGGTAGGTAAAAAAAAATTGCAAAAACTATCTTCATATACATACATACATATACTCACATGCAATTACATCAATGCCAACAAATGTGACATTTCATTTACCAAATACGGCTGTAATAAAATTTTAATAATCATTTGAGAATATCAATCAAAATGTAAAACAATCTGATTACAAATTTCGCTGTTTCTCTCGTTCGTTTGTATTCTGTTTTGCTGCATGCTTGTTTCCACTTCACAGTTTACAAATTAATACGCTGGGGAATTTTTATTAGCCATTGTTGTATCGCAGCAAAACAAAACTAATTGAATTGGAAACGAAACGAAACAAACGAGATTGAGTTGCAGCAGCTGGAGGAGCAGCAACAGAAGAACATTGAAAATAATGTGAATAGATTGACAGACCCGTAGAGAACAACTACGACATATAGATTGTAAGCAATTTGTTTATCGTCCATTCATTAGTCGATGAGAAGTACCGAATATAATAATGTCAATCAGAATATGCAGCAACGGAAAAATGAATAAAAAATACATATAAAATACGATTTTTTTTGTTTAAAATCATTTCATATACATGGTATAGCGGAATTATTTTAATTGGATATTATGGAATGGAATTTTGACACATTCGTATTAGATTTATTGGCTTTTATTTAAGGTTTATTGAACAATTAAACCACCATATCATACATAGTGTGGAGGATATTAAGTTCTTCATTCCGTTTGTAACTCATCGAAATAATAATTTTAGACATAACAATGTATATTCCTTATAAGCGTAAAATTCTAAGGCGATTTAGCCCTGCCCGTCCGTGCGTCTGCCCATTTGATGTAATCAAAAGTCAAATCTAATAAAGGAGGCTAAAATTTTGCACAGATCAGTCTTTTGTTTGCAGGCAGGTCAAGTTCGTAGGTGGGCTATATCGGTCCACGATATCGTATAGCCCCCACACACACATTCGGTATTTTGAAGATTGTAGCCACATTTTCAATGGAATTGTCTGAAAATCCACAAAAGGAGTTCCTTCGGAGTACTTTACCCCCTGGAAGAGTATTGTCTATACAGGTCCATCGCTATACTATTGTATAGTCCCACGGTACCCTCCTTTGATGATGTCTATATAGGTCCACAATATCATTTAGCCCACATACAACGGTACCCGCCGATTTTCGATATTTTGACGATTTATTCATTGGAGTTGTTTCAAATTTCGTATTTATAATGGATACTGCAACCTATGACAAAAAATTGCGTATGCTGGCACACGTTTTCGCATAGCCTTCATATAACGGTTCCTCCCAATACTTGGTATTTCGATGATTTAGCTACATTATCCACTGGAGTTGTTTTAAATTTCGTATTTAGAGTTTTTAATGGCAGAAAATTGTCTATGCAGGTCCAGGTCTTCGTATAGCCTTGATATAACGGTACCTCCCTATATTCGGTATTTTGATGATTTTCAGCGGAGTTTTATACCTTCCACCTTGAAAATGAGGCCATTCCGTTTGTAACATCCCTAAATATTCGTCGTGGGCCATATATTCATGATCAGCATAAAATTCTATCGATTAAACGATGTCCGTCTGTCTATCTGTCTGTACGTCTGTCTATTGAAATCACGATACAGCTCACATTATATGGCAGCCCAATTGTAGGCAGAACCAGTAAAGAAAGTCGTAAAGTCGGGCGGGGCCGACTTTATGATACCCTACACCACTTTGCTAATTAAGTAGAGCTCCACATAACAATTTTAAGTTTTTATGGGAGAATTCAATCATACACCCTATGATTATAATTATAATTTAAAATTCAAAGGACTAAATATGCCGAAGCATTTGTATCTTTTAAATTAGGAATTGTATTGCCCATTTGGTGCACAATTAATTTGAAATCGGATAAAGATATATGGGAGCTATATCCAAATCTGAACCGTGGGTAACAAATATAACAAATCGGATGAATAATATATATGGAAGCTATAGCTATATCTGAACCGATCTTCACCAAATTTGAAATACTAGCTTCTAGACTCAATTCGGTCGTAAGTACCAAATTCCATCCCATTTGGACAAATATTAGACTTTGGTGTACAATCGAAGGTAAATCGGACGAAGTTATATATGGGAGCTATATCCAAATCTGAACCGATTTCGATAAAATTTAGCAAATGTATTTCTGAGCTGTATTTGATATATTTCCCCAAATATTGTTGTTGCATAGTGCATATTACGGAAGCGGTGGACAAAAATAACAAATCGGATGAACAATATATATGGGAGCTATAGCTATATCTGAACCGATTTCGATCAAATTTGGCATACATATTTTCAGGCCTAATTTGGGTGTATATGCAAAATTCCATACAATTCGGGCTGATATTAATCCTTTGGTGCACAATAAAAGGCAAATCGGACGAAGATATATATGGGAGCTATATCTAAATTTTGACCGATTATCTCCGATTTCAATAGGGTTCGTCCTTGGGCCAAACAAAAGATCTTTGCAAAATTTCATCTGGATCGGGCAATAAATGCGACCTGTACTTTGTTTACAAAAATACATGGACAGACGGACAGACGGACGGACGGACGGACAGACGGACGGACGGACAGACGGACATGCATAAATCGACTCAGAATGTGATTCTATGCAGATCATCAAAAGGAACTATGGGTCTATCTCGTTTCCTTCTGCCTGTTACAAACAAATGCACAAAGACATAATACCCTGACCACCTTGTGGTGTAGGGTATAAAAATTTGTATTGTGTCCAGGAAGGTTGATTTTGAACATGATACTTATCGGTCCATGTTTTGGTATAGCCACTTATAATGGCACCTCCCGATATTCGGTATTTTGATGATTTTTGCAATTTTTGTCTAAAAATTGGTATTTGTTGATAATAATGAGTTCAAGCTCCGGTAGCGAAAAAATGTATGTATAGGTCCATGTTTTTGTATAGCCGCCATATAACTGTTCCACCCGATATTCGGTATTTTGATAATTTTGCCACATTTTCCACGGATTTGTCTAAAAATTGGTATTTGTAGTCGATAATGGGTTATGTTTTCAAATTTTGTATTTTAGAAGATTTGATAGATGACAAACCTTGAAGTATAAAATTGTCTGTAGAGGTTTAAGTTTTGGTGTGGCCCCATATAACGGCCTCATTCACTTTATGGTTTTTTGATAAGTTTAACTGCATTATCCAAACGGTCTTGCTGTAGTGTAAAGTGGAACATGTTTGAATTTAGATCAGGGCAAGGCAAAGAGCCTCAAAAATTTTTTGTGATTGTATGTGTTTTGAAATAACAAAATATTTCAAGTGTTTTTATGCCTCTCTTTATAGAGTGAGAAATAATTGGTTATATTTAAATTTTCAAGTTAAAATTTTTCGTTTTAAAACAACTTCGTTGTTAAAAATTAATATTTTGATCAGACAATTCGGAGATATATTTGCACAGTCATTTCAATTGTTTCATTTTAAAATAAAAAAAATATATAAGTTGACATTTTAAAAAATTTTATATAATTTTTATTAAAAAAATTAAAAAAAAAATTATTAAACACAAATAATAATTTCCGACTTAACATCCTAACCATCTAAGTTGATCCTTAAAAAATTAATACCGATTACCACAGGCTGACATACGCAAATAGCTGTAGAATTTTATGCTGATTAGAAACGCAGGATGGGTCCTAAAATATTATGTCTATGAATTACAAACAGAATGACAAACATCACATCCTGTTATTTTCCCTAATATTGACTAAGAACGTACATATAATTTCAGAGAAATCAAGGGATTTGAAAATGTCCATTAATTTGGAAGGACAATAAATTTGTCGAACAGTATGAAATAAATTTCTATTCCTAACATGTGAATTCGTATGCAAATTTTGTCAAATAGAATTCAATCAAAGAATATAAATCTTAAAAATTGTAATGTTTACAATTTCGGAAATATTTGTTTCAAATATATAGTAAGATATATTTGTGCTCCAATATTTCTTACGGTGTATTCATAGAAATATCCGACATCACCTTCCTCATCGTCTGCTGATTTAGATACTTTTTTAAAATATTATTTTCTTTGCCAAATGGTGGAGGGTTATTAAAGTTCGGCACGGCCGAACTTGATGCTTTTTTACTATTTTTTTCAAGTTGCGTATTTGAATATGGTAATGACTTATGACAAAAGTTACCTATGCAGTTTCACGCCTTCGTGTAATCGGGTATTGTATTGTAATCGGGCTGACGAGTAGTGGATAATCGGTGTTTACTATGTAGGCTGTTAGGATGTTTATGTCCAGATCTTCGGAGACAGCTTGGGTTCTCATGGTATAATCAATAGGAGACGGCAGTTCACAGTAGAGATACTCGGGAGCCACTGTCAATGGCTTTTAAGCTGAATCAGGGTTCGTTCGGGTTCGGCAACACACTGAAGGTATGGTCGGCAGCCAGTGTCTAGGACTTTGCAGATCGATGGAAACTCGAATTTCGAAATATCTTGCCCAAAATTGAACTCCAAATAAAATTTCATATTTCCAGATCTTAATAATACCTCTGCACGATTTTTGGTACTTTAAGCACGAACTTTCGATAATCTGGACCTACCTCAATACATTATCAGTGGCAATATATCAGGATCTTTAGATGTTTTACATTATCTAACATCTGAAAGAAATATCACAATGCAAGCAATCTCCTTGGATGATGTTTTAAAAATTTTAAATGTCCTGACCCTGAGAGGATGAGAAAAAAGAGATAGAGCCATAATTACTTTTAAGGCATCTCATTGAATCACTTACTGAGTCGATTTACGGATGCCCGTCCCTCTGTGTGTCCATATATTTTTGTAAACAAAGTATAGCTCGTATTCATTATCCGAGTCAGATGAAGTTTCTGCACATTTGGCAGAACTCATCTACAATTACGTAGTTCATATTTGGTGAAAATCGATTCAGGTATAGATGTAGCTCCCATGCATATATTTCATCCGATTTGTTATTTTTGTTCCTCAAAGCCGTAATATGAACTCCATGACAACGATATTCAGAAAAAGATATGCAACATAGCTCAGAAGCACTTTTGCCAAATTTAATAGAGATCGGTTCAGATTTAAATATAGCA